TACAGGCAGTCCCCGGGTTACGTACAAGATAAGAACAAACCTACAGTCCCTAAGTTGAATCTGTATGTAAGTCGGAACTGGCATCCAGATTCAGCCGCTGCTGAAACTGATCAGTTTCAGCAGCGGCTGAATCTGGATGCCAGTTCCGACTTACATACAGATTCAACTTAGGGACTGTAGGTTTGTTCTTATCTTGTACGTAACCCGGGGACTGCCTGTACTACAAGCTAAATCCATAGAAGCCAGGTTTAAACCTACTGTAGTGTTCATCCAGGTGGTTTCCCCTGGTTTAACTAAGCCAATTTGAAAAAGCACCTTTAGTTACAAAGTGCAACTGTTCCAGCCATCTCTGAGCTGCTGCCAGATGTGGGTTCTCTGAAGATGCAAGCTCTAGTTTGCTATTCCTGACTGCTGCTAGAAGATCTCAAAATAGCTTGGTTGACTTCGCTGTATGTAGCCATTGGCAAATGTTAATGAGACCAATTAACTTCTATTTGGCAGCTTTCAGATACTATGCTCTTATTGGTCCTTATTAATATTTGAGGACTAACAATGTGTTCAGCTAGACTAACCGAATAGTACTCTGTTCTTACCTTCGTATGGCCACATCTTGCTTGCTTGACATTCGATCGTCAGTCGGGAAGCTGTGTGTGCCTAACACATGCTGTAGTGTCTTTTCTATCCAGGTTCCCGGGACGGCTCAATGGGTCTCTGGGAGGTGACAGACGATGTGCTGACGAAAAGTGACGCCAGACACAACCTGTCTCGGGTCCCTGTCTATGCTCACATAACTCACAGGGCGCTGAAAGATATCCCCAAGGAGAACACCAACCCAGACAACTGCAAAGTCCGAGCACTGGCATTCAACAATAAGAACAAGGTCGGTACGATACAAGCAGGGAACTTGAGACTAGTGAAATGGAAACCTTTCAGCCAGGGGCCATCCCCACCAGTGCTGATGCCCTTCTCAGCCCAATACCAGCACACACACCCTGTGTGGGGAGCAGCCATGCTAGGAAGGATGGGGCGGGCTGCGGGGCAGGCTGTGGAGCAGGGAGTTGCCATCTCTCCTGGACTGGTGGACTAGATGCCATTTGCTGCAATCCTAGGGCAGGGAGGGAAACTTACCTGCAGCAGGCGGAAGGTACAGGCACGGGTCGGAGGAGCAGTAGGCGGTGGTGCTGCCAGCTGGAGTGAGGTGGCCCTTTTAAAGGGAAATCGCTGTTTATCTTCAGCCACCAGTTGTTCATGCCATTTGCAGCTGCCTGGTGAGTGGAGGCTGGGTGCAGCCTGCAGGGCGGGGAGGCAGTCAGATGATGGCACCAGTGCTGAGCCCCTGGGTTGGGGGGGCGGCAGAAGAGACCCACAATCCTCCCTAGGCATACATAGCATATGGTGCCCCAAATGAATGGCGCTGTACACAGAGGTGTATGCCTAAGGACACCCCTGCTTTCAGATTGTAAAACTGGATACAAAATTCATCTGGAATCGCATTAGTAAATGATCAACAGACCTGTATTTGTGGTATGTTTTGGTTGCTGATTCTTGTGTCTTCCCCTTCTGATGCTGTCTCTTGTCTGTTTCTTTTGCCTTTGATTCAGCCCCTATCTGTTCATTAATGGCAAACACAAACTCTACATCTAGAAGGAAGAGCTGTCCTGTCAGTTTTCTGGTTTTAAGTTCTTTGGCCCATTTTTCAATGTCTCTACAATAAGTACAATAGGCAAAATACTAGGCTGGTTTCCCCACTCTGAACTGGCATACTAATTCCCTTGCTGTGTGCTTGTTAATAGCTTTGTAACTGATCAGTGCATGCTTATCAGTGACTAGTAGTGAGCATGCAACTGATTTGACTCCTAAGAATTAGTTTTTTGTTCTTGGTATTTCTCAAACTGTAAAAATGTGAAACTGTTCCTTACAAACTAACTAATACTAATTGTTAGGGAAGAGGATGTGTCTTCTAAAAGACTCGATTATTTTAACAAACAGTCACACTTACCTACAATCTTACTTAATATTTGTCATTGTTTCAGGGTCCAGTACTGGGAATTGCCAGTGCTCACTTGTAGTGCATTTTTACACGTGTGTGTGCAGGGGGCAGGAGGGGAAGGCACTTGATGTAACAAGGATCTTAGAGTCTCTAAGCTACTATTTGGCTTTAGGCTTTCCATTTCACTTCTGTCCCTTCCATGCTATTGTGCTCCACTGAAATCAGTGTGCAACTAAGGTTTATCTTGTACAAATTTATCAGTAGTTCCAGGTAGCATTCACCTGAATGTTCTGTGGCAGGGTCAGTCCCCACTCCTGGGTCCCAGGCCCCTGTTCTGCCCACTGTCCTGCAGTTTAGGGGCTGCGGTATGTCCCACTTGCCTTTTCTTGGCATTTGGCCTTCTGTCCCTCTGCAAAATAAAGATGCGTTGAGGCCAATGCCCCTGGCCAGTCAGGGCTGAGTAAACAGTCCTCCTCAGCCACCAGGTGAAGTTTCTGTCCATCTGTAGGAAAGGGAGCCTCAAAATGCTCCCTGCCGGAGCCCCTCACTTCACCAGCACTGCAGGAGTGGTTCTGCTCAGCTCCTCTTGATTCTCCTGATCAGTTGTTAGTTCCTCTCCATCTCCACTCTCCAAACTCCTTCCCCACTCTCCCTCATCTTCCCCCACTGGGAAGCTTTTTAAAGAGGTCCAGTGGCAGCCTGAAGTCAGCTCATCTGGCCCTTGATTGATTTATAGCCACCGCAGCTGCTCCTAATTAACAAGGGCCATTGCTGGGTGGTGGTTTTTTCCCTGGGTTGCCTTTCTCCTCTTCTATCAAGCCCTTTAACCTGTCCTGTCACAATTCAATTCAAGACACTAAAGTTGCCTTTAAGCAGCTGTTTTGCATTGAAATGTGTTTTGTTAGCTTCCATATTATATATTCTAACTTTTTTTTTTCTTCTAGGAGCTAGGAGCTGTGTCCTTGGATGGGTACTTTCATCTTTGGAAAGCAGAACACACACTCTCAAAGGTAGTCCATCTCTTGTGTTGATTATACATTTCAATTGTTAACCTACCAGTTATGGTTGCTTCCCTACCATGTGTTTGTATAGACTCCAAACGCTGTGTCTACATTGGGAAGATTTTGCGCAAAAGCAGTCGCTTTTGCGCTAAATCTTGCCGCCTGTGTACACTGGCCGCGAGTATTTGCGCAAGAACACTGACTGTAATGTACAAAATCAGTGGTTCTTGTGCAAATATTCTGATGCTCCCACTCAGGGATAAGGCCTCTTGCACAAGTATTCTTGCACAAGAGTGCCAGTGTAGACAGCAATGTTAATTTATTGCGCAAGAAAGCCCGATGGCTAAAATGGCCATCGGAGCTTTCTTTCGCAAGAGAGCATCTACACTGGCACAGATGCTTTTGCACAAAAGCAAATCTTTTTCGCAAAGGCACATGCCAGTATAGATGCTCTCTTCCGCAAATACTTTTAACGCAAGAGTTTTTGAGTTAAAAGTATTTGTGCAAAATCATGCCAGTGTAGATGTAGCCCAGCAGTGTCTGTAAAACACTTGCCCTAAACCTTGATTTGAAGGCTGAAAAGTTTCATAGAAAAGGCTGTTTCAAGAGCACTGGACACATGAGTATTTATTTCCCTTTTGAGGGAGGGATGCTCCTAACTTCTTACCAATTTTGGACGAACTAGGAGCGTTCACTTGTCTTTTCTAGCGTTAGTTATATTTAGGATTTTCAACATGAGGAAGTTGCACTGGTTTAGCTTAGGTCTGGTCTATATTTAAAACTTATACCAGCACAGCTGTGTTGGCTAGGAGAGTGAAAAATCCTAGCAAGCAAAGCTTTGCTGGCAAAACCCCGGTGTAAATGCACTTATGCTGAGAGTATACCTTTTAACATTTAGCTTTTGTTGTTCAGGGGGTGGTTTTCCTATGCTGGCTGAATTCCTTGGCTACATCTACATTGGCATGATCTTGCGCAAATACTCTTTAACGCAAGAGTTCTTGCGTTAAAGTATTTGCGCAAGAGAGCGTCTACACTGGCATGTGCTTTTGCGCAAGAGCATCCGTACCACTGTAGATGCTTTCTTGCGCAAGAAAGCTCTGATGGCCATTTTAGCCATTGGGCTTTCTTGCACAAGAAATTCATGTTGCCTGTCTACACTGGCTTCTTGTGCAACAAGAGTGGGAGCATCCTAGTTCTTGCGCAAGAAGCACTGATTTCACACATTAGAATGTCAGTGTTCTTGCACAAGAACTCCCCACCAGTGTAGACAGGCAGCAAGTTTTTGCGCAAAAGCAGCCGCTTTGGCGCAAGATCACGCCAATGTAGACACAGCCCTTCTGCCCATGTATGCTCCATCTACAATAAAAGACTAATCCAAAAGACTCTAGTGTAGACATGGCCATAAGATGTAATTTCAAATTGACTTAGACTGGTACAAACTATTGTTGACGCTTATTTTCAACTAGGCTTACATTGATCTTCCTTAAGTTAATAAGGGACATATTTCAATAAAAATGTCTACACAGGGCGTTGCACCAGTTTTACTAAGCCTGTTTAACTAAACCAGTACAGTTTCTGCATGCAGACAAGGTCTAAACGCCGATCTCCCTCCCTTCCTGCTGTCAGTTGCAATTTTCAGCTTTTTCTCCCTTGACCGAGTGGCGTTACCACCTCCCCTGTCCCCCTCTCTCTTTCAGGTCTTCATTCTATAGGACAAACACCTTCTTCCAGAAGAGTTTCCAAGTCCATGTTACTACTTGAGTGTAGTCTCCTCCAATATGGTTTCAAGGATATTTAGGTTTTTTCAGTTGCTTGCATCCTTTCTTTCTCCCCTCCCGCTGGTACATTTTTCAGAATTAACTTCTCGCTCCATTTATTTCCAGCTACTTTCCACCAAGTTGCCGTACTGCAGAGAGAATGTGTGTCTGGCCTATGGTCAGGAGTGGTCAGTGTATGCAGTAGGATCTCAGGCACATGTCTCCTTTCTGGATCCAAGGCAACCTTCCCACAATGTTAAATCTGTCTGCTCCAGAGAACGAGGCAGTGGTAAGGAAATTTTGAAGTTTTAAATTGTTCAACTTTCCACCAAGGTGACAGTCAGGGCTGCAATAAAACACATTAGGCTAGTAAATATCAAAGCTTTTGCTATGAACTAGAGGTCAGTAGGCATATATGTAAATTTAAACTTTGCACCAATATTCCTCAAACAAAACCAATCCAACAGTGTCTCTGAAGCTTGTGGAGAGAAATAATCACCTAGCTCTTTAATCGGGCCTAATTAAAATTTCTTTGTTTAGACATTTTCATGCTTAAAGGAATGGTATCCCATCGGAAGCTTTTATTGTTACTCGTAACATAGATTTCAAATGCGTTCGATTTTCAGTATCTGTTAGTGCTCTGTTAACGTCTTGCCTTTGTGTTTGTTTAATCACCTTCATTCCCTGTAGTACAATATTGAGTTTCAACTCTTCGGGGGAAGAGGACTTTTTTGGTTTTGTTTTTTAATTTGAAATCCACAAAGGACATAGTTTTCTAGGGTGTTTAATTTTTACAAGAGCCTGTTGTTACGCAATTTGAGCCAAATGTAAATTGTCTAACTGTAAATTTTTGTACTGTTTTGGATTATACAGGTTTTGAAAGTTAATCCTAAATCTGACTTGGATAAGCAGCCGTATTTTCACAGATGCTGAACATCTGTTGCACCCGTTAACTTCCGTGGGTTTGTGGATGCCTAACCCCATTGAAAATAAGACATATTGGAGTATTGGCCAACAGCTCTTTGCTGCTGAATGTTCCAGTTAGCATATCCAACACTATAGGTGCATTCTAAGTAACGCTTCACAACTTCATTTTGACATGAAAGGGATTAATATGTAAATATTGTTCTGAAAGACTCAATTATCAGGAATTGAGCTGAGGTTTCTGGGCTTTTCCACTGCACCGCTCGATGCCCTCCCCAAATCTAACGTTTCTCCATGTTGGTGTCAAATTGCTCAAGCAGTTGAAGGGGAAAAATGTTAGTGCCCTGAACTTATGGCAGGTCTGCGCTTGAAACACCACTGCAGAACTGCTTTAGTGCTTAAGTGAAGATGCTCCTATGCCAACGGGAGAGTTTCTTCTGTCCGTGTAGTTAGAACATAGGAATGGCCAGACTGGGTCAGACCAAAGGTCCATCCAGCCCAATACCGTCTGCTGACAATGGCCAATGCCAGGTGTCCCAGACGGAGTGAATCACACAGATCAAGCAATCTCTCTCCTGCCATCCATCTCCACCCTCTGACAAACAGAGGCTAGGAACACCATTCCTTACCCATACTGGCTAATAGCCATTTATGGACCTAACCTCCATGAATCTATCTAGTTCTCTTTTAAACCCTGTTATAGTCCTAGCCTTCACAACCTCCTCTGGCAAGGAGTTCCACAGGTTGACTATGCACTATGTGAAGAACAACTTCCTTTTATTTGTTTTAAACCTGCTGCCCATTAGTTTCATTTGGTGGCCCCTAGTTCTTATATTATGGGAACAAGTAAATAACTTTTCCTTATTCACTTTCTCCGCACCGATCATGATTTTATAGACCTCTCTCCTATCCCCCCTCAGTCTCCTCTTTTCCAAGCTGAAAAGTCCCAGTCTCTTTAATCTCTCCACATATGGGACCCGTTTCAAACCTAATATATTTTGTGTGCTCCAGCTCCGGGGGGGGCAAGCAGGGCGGTGGGAGGGCGGGAGTGCCAGCGCAAGAGCCCCAGTGCTGTGGGGGGCAAACCTCTCCCTCGTGTTGGAATGCTGATTACCAGCGTGTTTTGATGACATCTTTTTATTGTGAGAATAACAGGGACCTGATAATGTTTGCGGGAATATTTTGGAAAAAAGAAGGCAAGAGAAAATAATAAACAATAAAATGTGCTTTGAACTTTTTCATTTAAAAAAATTAAGATATGACTTATAATATCTAGCCACAATGACTATCTAGTATTGGAATTGTTGTGGATATTTACTAATCAGCCTTCTTTAGAAGGTGCTCTGATACAGTGATAAATGATTGGCTAAAAGAGGGGGGGAGATGAGAGGGTACTTCAAAGCAGCAATGCCATGTGGAGCCTGGAGCCTGGAGCCAGACCCCGGGATCCACATTGTGCTGCTGCTTTGAAAAGCTGCATGCAGCCCGGGACCAGCTGGGGTGTCCCCAGGCTGCATGCGGTGTTTCAAAGCGGCAGCACCACATGGAGCCTGGGGTCAGCAGGGGAGTCTCCAGCTGACTCCAGGCTCCACCCGGCACTTTTGCCTTTGAAATGTGGTGGTGCCCTATTGACTATTCGATGAGTCAGTCAATATTTAACATCCCTAATCCACAGAAAGATTTGCATTGAGCCAGGTGGTCCATAGCCAAAAAGATTGAGAAACCATGTTGACTTTTCCACAACAAATTATGTTAATCTGTGTGTCTAACACTTCTGTTCTTTACTATAGTTTTAACCAATTTGCTCAGTACTGAAGATGTATAGGACTGTAATTGCCAGGACCACCTGGATCACCCAAAAGCCCTTTATTAAAATTGGCATCACATTAGCTATTCTCCCATCTTTTTGGTAGAAAAGATGATGTAAAGGAAAGGTTACATACCATGGTTAATAGTTCCAATGTTTAACATTTCAGTTCCTTCAGAAGGGTTGGGTGAATAGCATCTGGCCCTGGTGACACCTCAATCTAGGACAGTTCCTCCAATTTGTCACCTACAAAGGATGGGTCAGAACACCATTTCCTGTAGGTTCACATCTAGGACTCCAAGGTAGTAATAGGTGTAAGAGGTTCTTGTGGAGTATAGTTGCTCAAGAAACACATTGTGTATCTGACTTCAGAGACTAACTCTGACAGATTGTACAGAACAAATCCCACGCTGCTCTTAGCCACGCCCCCTGTGGGAAATTTGGAACCACAGGGAAAGTCTCTACCCCACCCACTTTCCTCCTTGTCAATTGCAAGTAAGAACATAAAGTAGCTTAGTGCTAAAATATTTACATATTATCTCAAAGAGAATCAGGATGTACACCCTGTGTTCTCTAAGACCGTCAAAAGGTTGAGATGCACACAAGAGGTTGAAAAAAATCCCCCCAGAAGCTTGTACAAACCACAAATCTATATAAATCTATATCTATCTATATATACACACTAGATAGCAAATACAGAAGAGCAAACAATTCACAATCTCTGGGGAAAGCTTCTTTTGAAGAACAGACTAGAAACTAAAATTTTTCTTCATTTTATTAAGAAAGCCTTCCACCTCCCAAAGAGGTGATAACTATATTGACAGCCTTGCTGTCATAGGGGAGAGTGGAGTTCAGTATAACTGCACTCAAGTGTGGATTTTTCACAACTCTGAGCGACATAGTTCAATGACTATACGTCTGTAGTGTAGACCTGGTCTTAGATCGTAAGTGAGAACTAATTTTCACTGGGGCTGGTTTATTAAAATATATTGATGTGTTTTAATCCTACTGTGTTTCAGTAACTATTTTGAATCGTAACAGTGAAAGTTTGTCCAATAGTGAAGGAAGGAGCAGAGGGGCTTCTACCAGTCATAGTATGACCTTGAGTAGGTCATAACTCTGCTTCCCAGTCTGTGAAATGGGGAAACTTCCCTGTCTTATAGGATTGTTGAGAGATAATGTACTAATATTCATAATGTACTTCAGACTCCTAATACCTTAGAGGAGTGCAGAATATTACTGTGGCACCCACACAGTATAGCAGTGGGCACATGAGAGATCTTAGTTTGTCTTCTCATCAGCTCTAGGTACAAACTGTGCTTTTGGTTTCATATTTGATTAATCCGAAGTACTTCAGACCCTTATGGACCAATTTGAAGTGCCATTTTATCAAGTGTGCTGTAAAACATCCTCTTGATAAACTGGAAGAATCAGTGAGGTACTTACGACCTTGTAAGTAAGAAGGATCTCAAGTTTTATTAATAAAAGCTATAAAATGCAAGAATTGTTTTGGAGGCTGTATGCCCTCCGCATGCATTCATCACCACCTACTTCCCTTGAGTGAGTACTCTCCAGGAGCAGCTTCAGAGGAACAGAATTAAAAGGGCATTTCCCTGGTGGATTTTTAAGCCTAAATGACTGGTTGGTCTCTTACTAACTATACTAGCCTCTGCTGCCTTCCACAGAGTCCAAACCCACTTACAGTGAATTTACCAAACCAAGCATGTAAAACAGATGCCTACAACTTGCTCTAATATGCTGTCAGCCTCATTAGCCAACTAGAGATTGTTCCTCCTTATACAGGCAGTCCCCGAGTTACGCGGATCCGACTTATGTCGGATCCGCAGTTACGAACGGGGATTTCTCACCCCGGAGGACTGGAGCGGCGGGATGCCTGGTCCCGCCCCCCGCCTCCTCCTGGGCGAGAAAAGCTGCTCCCCATCTCCCTGGTCTGCTGCGGGAGCCAGCAGACCAGGGAGACGGGGACCAAAGCGGCGCAGGACCCGGGCCAGACCGCGGCGCTTCCAGCTGATCTAG